CTACTGTGAAGTAGCAAACTTTAGGGTTGCAAAGCGGAGGTTTAAAGAATGCATGATCCATTTTATTTTATTTTATAATGCAGTCTGAAGGAGGAGATGAGACCCTTGCTGTAGACTACTTCACTTTCTCATCAAGCATTGCAGACCATCTGAGGGCAGCATCTCTTGTGATTAGTCATGCAGGTATAATTCGGATAGCGTCTTCTTATCTTTCGGAAAGTTGTAATCTTTCCCTGGTCTTTTAAAATTCATCAAATTTCAAATGAATGTTTTAGAGGTAAGTTTATGAGTAAAATAAAAGTACGAGAGAAGAGGAAAGCTTTGTTAATTGTGAGCCATTTTTATTTACTTTGATCCTTGATATATCATGGGCTTGATGTTTTGTGTGAATATTATTCTTACTGTGGTGCAGGGTCAGGGAGCATATTTGAGACATTGCGGCTTGGTAAGCCTTTAATTGTGGTGGTGAATGAAGATTTGATGGACAACCATCAAAGTGAGTTGGCAGAGGAACTAGCAGACAGGAAGCATTTGTACTATGCTCGTCCGCTGACACTTCATCGTGTTATAGCAGACATGAATTTGGATTCCCTCATTCCATACCACCCAGGTGATGCCACACCAGTCGCCAAGCTTATCAATCAGTTTCTTGGTTTTGCAGACGACTGATGGAATTGTAAAATTTTATTACTAGCATGATGCCCATTTGAATAAAAGTTTTGCAATGTGATAGATATTGATTGATCATCACACACGGTTGAACCAAATGAAGATTAATAGGATTGGGTTGGCCAGGATCTCAAATCCTTTTGATACCAGATTGAGAAGACATAATTTCGTTTGCGTAGTTGAGACTCTTTGACATGAATAACTTGGGATGCATTGTGTTATCTGTTTCGACTTGGCCCTACATAACTTTATTACATACCCATGTTATGTACCACCTAACTTGTACCAAATGTAACGGCAAAATGTTACTCAGTCACAAAACAGCAGTTTTATCTCTCATTCACCTATGACATCTTAATTGGAAGAAGAAGGATGCAAGGTTGGTGTCTCGTATCCTGCTGCGTGCCCGACTGACCATAGCATTGCCCTCGGAAGAAACTGATGGTAGTCCAGCCTGCGAGTATCTGCGCATTATCTTATTCTCCCGGTTCTCTGGGTTTGAAGCTGCTTTTCTATTGTTTATTTTTCGGTGGCAATTGTATAGTTGGCAGACTTGCCAAGTCCACTTCAACTGGTCCACCTGTCTGCAAGTCAAGGATGGTGATAAAACGGAATTTTCGGATGCTGTGGATTGTTTATAATTAGGAAATAATGATTTGAGCGGAGAATGGATATGAAATGGTGCAAAAGCTTCCAAGATTTTCTTATACAGAGACAGAGACAATTCCTTAGAAAAATACAAAAGAAGAGACGAAGAAAGTACACAAAACTATTTGGTATTCACGAGAGAGAGAGGGAGAGAGAGAGAGAGAGAGCGAGGAATCATGTGAAGAAAAATTACCAAAGTTGGGGAGAGAGAAAGAGAGAGGGCATCCTACTTAGAAGGGAAACAAACTCAACCTCCCAACACTACCCATATACAAACTTCCACCTCAACATTACCAAACTCACCTCTCTCTCTCTCTCTCTCTTTCTCTGATTTCTTCTTTTTTGCATTGCTTTGTGCTCATGGAAGTTAACACCACTGCTGCTGCATCTGCAGGGCCAATAGGCCTTGCTGCAGAAAACCAGACTCACAAACATCATCATTCACATTCTCAACCCTACAGCCACCATCACCACCATGGCATTTTTCCTTCAAAATCTGTTCTCATTATCATCATATCAACCATTTCAGTAATGATCCTCCTTGCTATAATCTTTATCATATTAATGCTTCGCCGTGTCGTCAAGTCCACCAAAAACAATGGCAATATTTACAAAGAGAGCAGCATCATGAACAACACAAGTAGCAGGTTCATTGCTCAAACCACAGTGGCCTTCAATTCTAGCCCAGGTAATAAAACATACCCACCTTGTGTTTCATTTTCATCTTTGCTAGGATGTATTTTTGTAATTAAAGACATTATTTTGAACAAGTCCATTGAATTTTGAGTGGCAGATGTGAAGGGTGGGTGCCTCCAAGGAGGGAACTCTGGAAGGTCAATTAGGACACCTATAGTCACAGCAGCAAGCAGATACAAAGGAGTTCAAGTGTTCTCATACAAAGAACTTGAGGAAGCCACTGATGGATTTAGTGAAGCAAATGTGATAGGGCATGGTGGGTTTGGAGTTGTGTATAGGGGGGTCCTCAGAGATGGGACTGAGGCAGCAATTAAAATGCTGCAAAGGGAAGGAAGGCAAGGAGAGCGTTCCTTCAGGGTTGAGGTGAGTGACTTCATTTATTACTTTTTGTTCCTATTTGCTGCTTTCAATCCCCTCTTTCTTTGGTTAATTGCTGTTTCTGTGTTCGCTTCTCTTCCTTTTGTCATTATTAGATGTTGGCCTTTGTATTGTCAACACAGGCCAATAATTGATTTTTGTCTCTTTCTCTCTATCTCTACATCTTTCAGAAAATGCTATCACCTTCTAGTCCTGGTGTATTATCTAAACCTCACTTAAATAAGCAAATATTGGGGGTTGACTTAAGTCCTGGTTATGTTTTGATCAAGGAGTTTTTTATTTCATTTTTATGTGTGCATGTCTTATTAAACAAGTTTAGGCCTTGAATTGCAGAATACAATATTGCCTCTAGACAATTTCTGCACATGGGTTTGAGAGAAAAATGAAAATAACAAATGCCTCATATCTTTGTATCGTAGGTGGATCTGCTAAGCCGATTGCACACTCCATACTTGGTGGAGCTGCTTGGTTATTGTGCTGACCAGCACCATAGGCTCCTCATATTTGAATGCATGCCTAATGGTACTCTGCAACACCATCTACATTCTACAAACAAACATCAGCCGTTGGATTGGGGGACCCGATTGAGGATAGCTCTTGATTGTGCTAAGGCCCTTGAGTTCCTCCATGAGCATGCTATCCCATCTGTTATACACCGGGACTTCAAGTGCACCAATGTTCTGTTAGATCAAAACTTTCATGCCAAGGTATCTGATTTTGGATTGGCCAAGATGGGTTCTGATAAAATCAACGGTCAGATTTCGACACGTGTGCTGGGGACCACAGGATATCTGGCACCAGAGTGAGTGCTATATCATCTGTAATGGACCCCCTCTCATTGTCATTAAGATACCAACAAATATATAGGCACAGCAATAGAAGCATGCACATGGGAGCGTATACTAGATCACTGCTATGTTAGCTGTCATTTTTGTATCATCTTCAGGTGTTACTTGGGCAAAGCAAAAGGCTGTTAATGAAAATGAAAATGCATACCTGAACACCATTTTAGAAACTGCATATTAAGAAGACTTCAAAGAGACCCTTTGATTCAAAGATGGAAGTACAAGAAGAGCATTATGTGTGTGTGTGTGTGTGTAATAGTTTCTCAACTTAATAACTGTGATGTTTTATTTTTCAATGAGTTTTGGACGTTTGGTGATATAGGTATGCGTCAACAGGAAAGCTTACTACAAAATCAGACGTATACAGCTACGGGGTGGTTCTTTTAGAGCTCTTAACAGGGCGTGTGCCGGTAGACACCAAACGGCCTCCCGGAGAGCATGTCCTTGTCTCATGGGTGAGTCAGTGAATAATTTCATCACTTTTTCCTCTCAATAATATTCAAGCATCATAGCATACAATGTCCCTATACATCAAACTAAAAAGCAATTGATTTTGGTTCTATGATTTATCAGGCCCTTCCAAGGTTAACTAACAGAGAAAAAGTATTGGAAATGGTTGACCCAGCTCTACAGGGGAAATTCTCAAAAAGGGATCTAATTCAGGTCAGCTTAGCTTAGCTTCCTATAATCATCACCTGCAAATTATTGATTCTAAATTTTTCTTGCCACTATAAATTAAATTGTTGTTCTTTTTTTACAGATAGCAGCTATTGCAGCAATGTGTGTGCAGCCAGAAGCTGAATATCGGCCTCTAATGACTGATGTTGTGCCTTCTCTAACTCCTCTGGTTAAAAACTCCTGCTCTTCTGGTTCCTCTAGATTTCAGAATCATATAACAAGTCCAAGGTATTAGGAGCTATGTGAAAACAGCAACTTGAAGTAAACCGTTCAGATATCTGATCAGCCTTTGGCAATAATTCTTCTCACTGTAAACATGTCAAGTTTTCATAAATATAGTGAAAAGTGAAAAACCATGGTCAATAATAAATTGAGTTTCAGTAAAGCTGACTCATAAAGGTGAACTTAATGTTTCATGTGCTTCAAACTTCACCGACCACATGGGAAAACACCAACATTAGAAACAGCCATTTCTTTCGATTCTCAGTCAAGCAGACGATCGAGCAGCAAATGCAGAGATGTTAGAACGAGGACATGCATTGTTAATTAGCTGTAATTATCTCCTGTATGCAAAGCCTTTGATTTGAACACCATTGCTTTTGTTGTAAATTAAGAATTGATAAAGCTGTAACCTTTTTTGGTTGCCATCAAAGATAATTTAGTCATGAAAGAGAAAGTTACCATCTTTTCCTGGAGGACTATATGTTGTATTTATAATCCCTAATTTTGATTCGGACGAAAACGACACCACATCATATCATTTCAAATCTGATCCATGTTCATTAATCCTAGTATGATTTGGATTGGACTTCGGAGATTAACATCGTAATCATATATCATGATATCCCAATGCAAATGACACAAAACAAACAGCACACCCCATTAAAACATCAAACTCATAATTTCTTTTTGGTCGTTGTGACCGAACATATTTGTGGGCACCAATGACATTGAAAATCAACTTAGAAAAACGGAAGAGACATAACCCATCAAAACTTGCTCTTCTTGCACACCCACCCACCCACTTCACGTTAGTCGTATTTCTTCAAAAAGTTCAAGTCTTTTTCACCGTGGCATTTGGGGCAATGCAAGTCAAATATTACATGATTATTATACAAGTCAAAAACATAAAGTATGATTGAAGCAACCATAGTTCATTACCCATAGGATTTGGCTTACCCATAACCCAAAAGATCGTTTCACAAGAAATAAAAATAAAAGATTTGATACAGCTAAACCCAAGTTACAAAAGAGACCCCTCAACTTCAAAGATGTATACACAAGAAGAGCGTCTGTGTAACTTAACCGTGATCTTTTATGATCTCAAAAACAAAACTGTAACCCACAAATAGAGAGCTACAGCAACTAAACTTGTTAATGCACTAGTCTATGAAGCTGGCCATCTTCTTCCCAATGGCATAGAATGGGACAAGTTACTGATCACTTCGATCTCATCTCTTTTCAGTTTCAGCTTCCATGGCAGCACTTGTTTCTCCTTTTTCCTCTCTTTGTGTCTTGCTGTTATTTTTCTTAACTTTATCAGCATATTTGGAAAAGGCAACAGACAAGGCTGACTTAACAGTCAATTCTGGTTCTTTCTTCCGGCGTTTGCTTTCATCTTCTGTTTCCTCCACTTCTTTATCTTCATCCACTGAACCAAGTTCAGCATTACTTAGGGCAGAGGTTTCTGGAACAGCAGGACAGCTGGCAACCACACGCTTAAATGGTTCGTGAAATGTATCATACAAACGCTTTACCTGATTTACAAGGTATGGTGAGAAATTAAAGCCATAACCAAAATATTTACAATAAATAACACAATCCACTGAACAGAATGTGCACGCCAATAAAAACAAAAACAAGAAACCATTATTTGTTATGTCTCACTTCGAATGTTGGTCTGAACATAAAGAAAAAGGAAAAAAATTAACACAAATACCTTGCGCTCTCCAATCCCAGGGCAACGAGCTAGATCTTCCATCGAAACATCCATGATATGAGAAAGAGACTGCAATAACATGACAATGAGCTTGATATCAACATTACCAAAAAGCACATTCTCTGCCAACGCAAATTCTCAGTGAAAACTGCAGCCATACCCCAAATGTAGTACCAAGGGTGACAACATCAGTCTTGTTAACATGTCGAACTGTTGTTAATGCATGATTTAGCTATAATATAAAATAGACAATTATCAGTTCAAGGAATTCATAATTCTGTACATCATACAATGCAATCTTGATATTTCACATATTAACCAAATAATTTAGTAAGACTCTAATTTGGCTTTCATAAAAAACATAATTGATTAATTGACCTCAACTGTATCGATACCCGTGATAAATAGTCTGTATCCATTTGACCTTGAATAATGTCAGCAGGCTTGTTTTCATAAACTTTTATGGTCTCCAAGTAGCGACCACATTCCTCCAAGCTATAGAAACATATTAAAAGCAAAGCTGGATCAAACAAACCAACAAAAACTAAGCTACTGGGAAATAACCAAATGCTTAAACACCTTTACAAACAGAGGCCCTTGTAGCAATATTCGACCTCTGTTAAAGAAAAAGTTCATCATGTTCTTGAAGAAGTTTACAAGAAGAATAGTGAATACAATTTGATTTGGATATTTGAAGGGAAAAAAAGGCAACCGTTGCCTACATTGGATATTTGATTTGCAGTTTCAAATAAAATATATGTACCTCCAACCACATAATAGGGTGCATTCATGAAGCAGAGCAGTTTTAGTAACTTCAAGTAAAGGCTTAACTACATCCTCCTGAAACCAATGAAAGCAGTAACCAAATTTCTGTTACAAAGATGAGAAAAGAACTGCTTGGTCTATGTGTCCAACTGGATTGCAAGAAAACATAAACCAGGAAAAAACAAATTACTATTAAAGTTATGAAAGACAACTGATTGGCACAATGGCTTACCACATCAATATGGCAAAGAACAACACGAAGCTTGAAATTCTTTTGCAATTCTCTTATACGGTAATATAGGTAGTCTGGATGCAGCAGATGATACCGAAGACTGCAGCAACCGATCATCGCACATGTTTATATATATAACTAATTATACATGGATCGAATTAAATTTAGAAACTTCATCTTATAAGAATGAGCATGAGGTAGGCATCATCAACTCCTGAGGTTATAAACACTTCAAGCATGAAAAGTTAAGGCAACATCATATCTTGCATGTCTAACTGTTAGTCACTTTCCATCTTAACATTTCAGATAACAGTTGAACCAGATTTACCGCAGAGCATCCTAACTATAGGCTCACATGTATATAAAATAGTATAACCAAAGTGGAAAAGTTCAAACCTTATATAGAGAGCACATGAGCTTTGCCCAAGTAAGTAGTCGCAAACAATATCTGCAAACTCCCATCTCACATTTCTAATATGTTTGAGCAAGGGATTTCCCTTCTGCATGGATTAGATTTTACACTGAGTTGAAAATAGTAGAACTGAAAAATATAGCTGCGCCACACACTGCAATGTTTAAACTTCTCCAGCTCATGAACTTTACTCCACCATTATTTTAAATATTACAATAAAAATGCAACGAAAATAAAAAAAAATACTGGACCTGTCTGTGGCTCACAATAATTGCATTGCGACGCTGAGCAGGTGATGATGATGATGCAACAGCATTTGTAGGAGCAGATGATGATGGAACATCAGATTGACCAGTTTTGCTAAAGCAAGAAAAAAACACGAAAAAAATCTCAAATTCAGATACCAGGCAAAGAAAATACAAATATTCTAAAACGAAAAATAGTTCAATTAGCTTAAGTTGGCAACCTCTCAGTTTTCTGAGCTCTTACGCAACCAAAATGGCAGAAAATAATAAAGAGCCTAACATTTCGAATCAAAGTGAATTGCTTCGTTTGGTTGTAAGGAAAATGGAACTAGCAAACTCAAACATTTTAAAGATTACATTTTTGAGAAACCAAAATATTAAGAAAACTTCTCTTTTATCTCTCCCAACTCACCAGAAAAGAAGTGTGAGAATCACAGAACTTTCCCATGAACCATTTTCCACGAAAACAAACAATAGCCCACATTTCCACAATCAGCAACTAACTTAAATCAAAATAAAATTATCCATCAGAAGCACAATGCCCGCACACACATAAAAGGTTTGGATTGAAATTGGTAAAAGGGTACCTTGAATTACCGGTGTCTGAGGCCTGTAGGAGTTGCGAGGAGGTGGCAGGGGGAGGAGGAGGCGAGTAGAACTCAGAGGACTTGACGAAGGCAAAGGCTTGAGAAAAGCTCTGTGAAGGAGTGAACAGAGACGGTGGGGTTGATTTTGACTGTGAACTCTCAAGAACTTCTTGAAAAGATGGTATTTTTATCACTGTCTTCTTGTTGTTTTGCCCTCTGTGTTCGTCTTCCATGTCTCTCTCTCTCTCTCTGTGTGATGCTGCTTCTCTTTCTTCGAGTCCGTTGACGGATTTGTGTAGGGGAAGTTGGGGTTTTAGGCCTGGGCTTGAAGTGACGATGGATTGTGGACATTTGAAGCCCATTGTATTGAAAATACTCCCACTTGGGCTTATTATTAAAACCATTTTCTATTTAGAGAACTTTCTGTTTTTTGGGGTCAATTGATTAAAATTAGACAACTATATGAGAGTTTTGGGTGGAAGTGAAAGGCTGGAATATGTGCCTGCCTAAAGGAGAAATTGGTTGGTAATTTCAAAAAGCAGAAAAAAATAAATTATATTCTGACCATGGAAAGTGGGAGGAATTAGTGCCAGAAGTCAAGTTACAGATACGATGGAAGAATGGTTTTAGATTCCTTCCACTGCAACTTATAAATAAATATAAATGCAGACACATTATTGTTTATGTTCTTAACTTGTTACCTTCATTTAAGAGTGGTGATTTCCCCCTCCAATTTTGTCCACTTACACTTCATTTTATAATTAAAAAATAAGTGTAAATGGTTAAAATGGGAGTAGGGAAATCATTACCCTAATTTAATTAGGTTATTATTATATACATTATTTATGCATTAACATGTCCATCACATTATGTTTGTAATATTTAGAATCAATGCAATTTTATTGCATAAAACTTGAACTAAAACAGTAAAATTTCACTTGCAATGGTGTAATTTAATTCATTGCAATAGATGCAATTGTAATAGAGGGTGCTATGCAATATGCTAACCATGAGACCCACATGTCAATAAATTAAAAAAAAAAATACAACAATTAATACATTATGTTGTTAAGAGCATCCGGAATGGTTGTTCAATAGTTCAATGTAATAGAAGAAAATACATGAATTAATTTTTTTTCAAATATATTAAAAATTGGTATATTTTTAAAGATCTGTTTGAGAATATTGCAATGTTACAATTTTTAGTGTTAATACATTTTTCCTTTTTACTTTATTTGAGTATACAAAAAAACGTGTAAGTAGATATAACTATTGATTTGAAGCTATTGAACTGAAAAAAATTGCAGTCAATTCAATAAATACCTAAACAAATAATAAATTCATTAAACTATTGAACAAGGAAAGAGGTACTTTACTTGTATGAATTGGGAAACCATTAATTAGCATAATTATTGTGAGGGCAAGAATCCAAACTCCAATAGACAAATCATTATGCATTATGGACCACAACTTGTTTCTGGGCCACTTCCACTATGTATGTCAACAATATCCACTACTTGTTTCTTGACCACTTCCACTAAAACTAGTTTATATTTTTTTTACTTATCTTTGTTTTCATTCCCCTAATACTATATTTTTTGCTTAATGCTCAACAAACATGCTAATGGAATGTACAAAACAACACAATAAAAATGGAAATAAACCGTACGACAGACACAATGTTAACAAATAAATATAAATAATAAGTTGCAAAAATTCATAAGCCAAACAATTAATAACAAGTGGGTTATCTTTTGCTTTACAGATAAAGACACCCAATAAAACAATAAATATTAATTACAACCACCTCATTCCATTGACTATCTCATTTGTATTTCAACTTTGTCATGCCATTCCATTCACTTGGGTCTTTTTTTAATTCAAAATTCCAGAAAAATAATTATTAACTTACAAAAAATATCTATAGACATTTAACAAATTCATCTAAGCCCGTGGCGGTAAATTATAAAATTAAAAAGAATAAAATTAAACCGGAGGTCGAACCGAGTTACTCCTAGACATCCCAGGCTCCACCGGTTTCTCACCGTCGTTAGCCGCCACCCTCGGTGACAGAAGACTCGACATCCGCGTAAGAAACGAAGGCGTTCTCGAAAAGACCCACCTGTCCGATTTAAAACCCCGGTCCAACCGCTCAAGCCTTCTATAGTTCATCAACCTATTACTACCGCCACTCTCGCCCATTCGCGGCCCACGCCTCGAACTCCCTTCTCTGGGCAACACCAGCAAGCTTACGGACCGGTTCAGTTTCCGGTTCATGATCTGTTTCCTCACTTCCACCGGCAATCTCAAGGTGAACCGCTCCGTATCCTCGCCCGGCTGAATCAGAGAGTGCCCGGTCGAGTGGGACCGCGGGAACAGCCTACGCAACCTGCTCGATCTCGATCCACGTGTACGGTTCCGGTTCAGCGTTTGGTTTAAGCTCAACAACTCGGGTTGCTCTACCGTTTCCTGGCAGCCCTCGTCTGTTTCCGGTGCCGACTCAACGGCGTCGTTTTGAGCTTCGACGTCAACCGGTACATGTTCCGAGTTGAGCACAGTGAGTTGGGGGATTGGATCGCCGGGTTGAGGGACGAGGTTGGCTCGGCAGACGGGACACGTGGTGTGCGAAGCCAGCCACTCGTCGATGCACTCGGGGTGGAACACGTGGTCGCACTTGGGGATCAAACGCAGCATTTCGTCGTCCTCGAACTCATTCAAGCAGACGGCGCACTCGAGCGCGTCCTTCCCGATTTTGAGCCCCTTGACTGCGGAGTACTCGAGGGTGGGGAAGGTGTCGATGACGGCGGCGTCAAGTCCGCGGGAGGCGCCGCGGCGGGAGCGGCCGGTGTGGGTTCCGCCGGCGCGGATACTGGCGGATTGGGCGTCGGAGCAGTGGCGGATATAGATGGAGAAGAAGCCCATGAGGAAGAGGGCGGCGATGAGGACGACGATGATGATGGCCATGGAGGGGCTGAAGCGCTGGTAGCGGTAGGGGTCGGGGCTGGGCTGAGCTCCGACGGGGGAGATTGCCGGCGAGAGGAGCAGCAGGAAGAAGAAAGTGAGGGCGCCATGCTTGGCGGCGTAGGATAAGATCGGAGTCATGGCGTGGTATGTAACGTTCGCCGGGAGGAGGGTACGTTGTCCTTGTGGTGTTAGTTAGAGGATGAGGGAGGGACAGAGAGACTTATAAATGAAAAGAAAAGAGGGAGACAAAGAGCAGAGAAGGAGTGAGTGTTGTTCGCGGGGAATAAAGAAGGGGGAAGAAGAGCTGAAGAAGACAAAGTGAAACGAGGACCATGGGGGGGTTTCGGAGTAGGGCCCACACTCTCACTCCTCTCATTGGAGTGGAGTTTCTCTGGCCCTTCGTGAAGGGTGACGTCAGCAGCTAAGTCATGGATGGCGTGCCACGTCGACTCACGCGGTGCTTTCGGAGTTAAATAAAAAATAAAAAATCCGGTCTTGCAAATTCAGAGTTCAAATCGTACGTCTTCTGGACGATGTGATGATCTCTACAAAATGGACATAAATTTTTGTCTTTTCCTTAAAGTGTTGTGAATATTTGATAGTTGTTAATATATTTTGCTTGAAATTAACGAGACATTTTATATATACTAGAAACAAATCTACTATTGGATTACATTGTTTTTGTATCTCTTTGTTTTTTTTCCCTCAAAGCCAAAACGCATGAACTGGGCTCTACAACTTGTTATACATGATTGTCCGCAATCCGTGCCTTTATTTGACCAGACTAAAGAATAAATTATTGCCTATGAAAACTAGGACTTTCTTTTTTTATTCAACAAACTAGACCTAATGAAAGGTTATTGACCATCAAATAGTTGAGGAAGGGTTTCAATTTTATACATGGCCTTATTTATAATAATAAAGACTTTTATGAAATATGGATATCACTAATTTGCTATTTTCAACCAATAACGTTATAATACGCATGATAATAATTTCACGTGAAATAATAAAATAGTATTATTCTCGTTGCAATTATCCTTATTTACGTTTGACAGCCTATCTTCTCGCAAAGTAACAATTTCCAAAATAAAATAAAAACATGAAAGCGGTAATTGTGTAATATTTTAGGTATGTGTTTATAGGTTGCTACTAAGCTAAAAGTTGGTAAAGGTTTGAATAATAAAGAGGGTCAACATTTCAAAAGAAGTCGAACTTAACTTTTTTCTCAGCAGCCCAAATCGTACGGCTGTCAGAAAGTATTGGAGAGAAGAGTTGCAATGTGAGAAGTACCGTAAAAGTTTCTAGAAGAATATAGTTTTCTAAATTAGATTTCTCGGGTGTCAAATCAAAGCAAATGGGTTGGTTGAGTAACCACAAAACCAGTAGCGTGGTCCGAAGGGAAGCGCGCGGTGTGGGCCTTTGCATTTGACTTTATATAGCTTGCATTAATACATACGATCCAAGCGAAAATGGACCATATATTCATGATTATTTTATTAAATTTAAGTGAAGTTATTATTCAAATGAATTCTAGATGCGTCCATATATCACATCTCACCATAGAACGATTCCACGACCCAAACGACGTTTTTGGACGATTCATCTCATACAACAAATTCGACACATACACCAATTCTTGACCAAAAAAATTAAAAATTTCCCCACATACGTGTCATATTTCTATGAATTTAATTGTGCTTGGCCCAAAATAAATGCATTTATTCAATTATTGTAATTTGAAACAACAAAAATATTCACGAAAAATTTGCTCGTTAACATATGTTAACACAACACAATTCACGAATCGATTCTAAAAGCTTTCATAATAATTTCATATAATAATTCTCCCTTGCTCAAATCCATCAACGAACGCCTGATATATAAGTTGCATGTGTGAAATGAGTTTGATACTTTTTTCTTGAACGGATTTTTCCGAGTTTCTTTTTCTAATTTGTATGAATTAGTCAACTTATTCCCGGGAAAATAAACAAATTCGACAGAAATGGACATTAGGATTATTTTCCTCTCTCTCAGAAAGTGATGGGAAACTCTTATTTACTTGAAATTAATTAAATAATTCATTTGACTTTTAATCTAAGCCCCAAAGGTCATATACTATAGTCAAACTTTGAATTAATTCTAGGTCGCCGACCAACAATAATTATACATGAAGTCTAACACCATCGATGAAATAGAATATTCCAATACATGTAATTGAATAATTTTGTATTTAGGTTTTATTTTTATACAAACGATATTAAGATAGGGAGGAATCGAACCTAGAATTTCTGGCGTAGAAATAATGTTTTTAACCACTTGAGCGTGTAATTAAATAATATTATAATTCATTCAATTCAATATATGATTATTATATCAGTTTCCTTTCTAAATTGTAGTTTCCTATTGATTCATTGGGCCTTTCTGGGGCTGTTTGCTCATCGGCCTTTTAATTTTGCGCTTTCAATAAAGAGTTATAAGACCCAAAAGGACCCAAAAAATGAAGCCCATGAGGAAGCATAGGTTCAACATGAGGCCCGTAGCTCTGAAGCCTGGACACAGCCCAAAAAGAAGAAGAAGAAAAAAGTCGTTAAATTGTGTGTATTTATTATATGTATCAACGACAAGGAGGGTTAAATGCCAATTATAGCCTTTTTCAAACAAAGTAATTTTTAAGCCAAGGGTACTATAGTAATTTTCTTTAAAATAAAAAAATAAAAAGCTAAGGGTACTATAGTAATTCAACGTCAATTTCCCGACCGACTTTCTCTCTCCCACTCCTTATTTCTTCTCACTCATTGTTCTCATGCAGTAACTTTCTTTAAGCAAATGCATAACA